ATCGTGGATTGGATGGATTTTATATTTTCTTATTTTCCGATAAAACTACCTAACCAATCATACTAGGTTTTATATCAGCTTCAAGCTTATTATATTCTCTCCACAAATCCACTTGGGCCAATTCGAACAAACAAATAGTCTGTGAGTGAGGGAGTAAGAAACGAGCTCGGAACAGCCAAAAACCTCAAATTTCTAGAAATTCCCTATCTAAATCGGCGTGAGGAGCTGTTATAAATCGGCGTATTCCGACAAAACTGTAGGGATTTTTTTCATTTTTTCTTCATGAATTGGTAGATTAATATGTTTTACAACATAATCTGCTTGGGCTATTACAAGAAAATCATAGATTTTGTACCAAAAACGTACTTTTGTGAAAAAATCCAGTTTTCTCCAATGGTTAAGGCGACCTTGGAGAGCAAATGATACAACGTTTCCATATGAGTAGTGCCAAAGCAGATAGTCTCGCTTTCCCCATCGTGGCTCTGAGATATGGCAGGATGAGCATTAGTCATGTAGTCATTGCAAAATAGAATAAAAAAACAAGAGAAAACGGTCGAAATGGACTGAAAAAAATCACAATCTATACATTTGCCAATAAAAACACCTACAATTTCATCGTGTTTTTCTAAAAAGTGCTTATTTTTTACTCTCATTCTCCCATTTCAGCGCCCCCTCAAACCCGGCGCCCGGGGCATGTGCCCCTCCCCTTGTTGACCCCCCAGCTACGCCACTGACTGGACGCAACTGCAAGGAACTGACATTTGCGCAAATTTGTCGATATGAGTCAAGTTGAGTTGAGTTCCTTTCAGTTGCCCATGTTCTACTTTTTGTGGAACTAAAGGAAAGTGAAAAAAGCGCGGAAAAAAAAAAAAACGAAAAAAAACCCCCATTTATTCGGAACTAAAAAGAACTGAAAAAAACGTTGATCATGGCCATTATCATGCCAGTGTTAACTACTGAAACAGTGAAAAGTGAAACAATAATATTTAGTTCGGTCGTTGAGTTAAAATATAAACGGTTAAATGTATTTACGTTCATTCATAATGCATTTCCCTTGTATTTATCAACTTTCATAAATTTAAGTTTTATGTTGGCTTTTTAAATTCTTCGAGCCTTCTTTTAATACTTTTATTTATTTATTTAGTTTTATTTTTGTATAACAACAATGCGATGGATACGATACGATACTGTGCCATCCAATCCTAGCTAGGCCTAGGCATAGACCTTATTCTTACGTAGGCCTTTGACAAAGTACAGACTGGTGAACTGGCATGCAAGTAAAGTAAATTAAAATAGACATTCAGCTTTAAAAATCCAAATTTTACAAGCTTAAATTATCCAATAACAGTTCTGCTTCTTAGAAATACTGTAAGTAAAAAGTGGAGCATAATCTATGCTCCTTCCTGTTTATCTATGCGTATCCAATACGCGCGTTCGCGCAACAGTAAATTAATATTTTGTAACATTTTAATTGACCGCTGATTTATATAAACAATAGTCACGTAAAATATGCATTCACGTGTATAATTATTGAATACCGTAAAACGTCTGATAATAACCCTGGGATACGTACTATTCGTTTATTGTTTTTTAAAGTGGGCTACTGTTTATTAATAGATCAGTGGGTTACTAGGCCTACATTCATTCATTCATTATTTTTATTTCAAACACAACAGCAAAATACAATCAAAACAATCGAGAAATATAAAAATATACAATTCATGATAAGGTAAAAGACATTTAAAAAGGAATGCATTCACAGTAGACCTAAATATTGCTTTGAGATTACATAATGTACGGTACATAATGTTCGGTAGGCACTTGAAAATTATAGGCCCCATAAGGAAAAATAATGTTGATTTAATTTTGTTTATAAACACAAGTTCAACCCTCATCTTTTCTTTTGCTTAAACATCTTTTTATTTCTGTTATTTTAAAAATAACGGTTGGCATCATTAAATCAGTTAAATGTTTTAAATGTGATAGAGCCGAAGTATTTTTCTACAATAATTTCTGTGTGTACAAAGAAAAACTTGAAGAGGCATTGTTTGTTGGACACGTTTCAATTGAAGTGTCAAGAATTCTTGCCTGATTTTAAAAACTGTCAGATCATTGGCAGATTTAGAGGGGCCGGGCCGCGAATTTATTTTTTTCCTGGACGTTTGAGGCAGTGGAGATTGGTGGTGCTATAGATTCAACGTAACCAGAGCCATAGAATGAGAGAGTTTGGCCAACTTGGCGCATGGACGCCAAATCGTTACCAAACAGCCCAGGCGCATGCGCGCGTATAGCTTTAATGTTTTATTTTAGTGACAACATGGCCGGTGTAAGTCATGTGATTGCGATCCACCCAATCACACTCGCGTATATCGAATAACGTGAAACAGAGTTGGCCAAACTCTCTCTATATACAGCTCTGAACGTAACGCCTCTTTGATGCAATGAATATTTATAAGTTTCCTGCCGCTGTTTGCACGTGTTAAGCGATTATATCCAAGGCCCGAGTAGGCCTACCATAGTAGGCATCATGCAACAACGACAAGTCTTACTGTAGTAGTCTTCTTATAATGAAGAGTAATGGTTGAACGCCCACAGACTTAAACCCTTAAAAAAATAAAAAAAAATAGAACATGTCTAAAATAAATAATAATTAGGCTACAAAATTATAAACACTGTTGCGGCCTTTGTTACCCAGTCAGCAGCAGCTGACTGGGTTCTGTTTCTTAGCAGTTTCTTCCTTCTTTACCCAGCCAGCAGCATGCTGACTGGGTTCTGTTTTCTAGCAGTTTCTTTACCCAGTCAGCAGCAGCTGACTGGGTTCTGTTTCTTAGCAGTTTCTTCCTTCTTTCTTTCTTTACCCAGTCAGCAGCAGCTGACTGGGTTCTGTTTCTTAGCAGTTTCTTCTTTCTTTCTTTCTTTAACCAGTCAGCAGCATACTGACTGGGTTCTGTTTCCTAGGAATTTCTTTACCCAGTCAGCAGCATGCTGACTGGGTTCTGTATCCGAGCAGTTTCTTACCCAGTCAGCAGCATGCTGACTGGGTTCTGTTTCCTAGCAGTTTCTTACCCAGTCAGCAGCAGCTGACTGGGTTCTGTTTCTTAGCAGTTTCTTCCTTCTTTCTTTACCCAGTCAGCAGCAGCTGACTGGGTTCTGTTTCTTAGCAGTTTCTTCCTTCTTTCTTTACCCAGTCAACAGCATGCTGACTGGGTTCTGTTTAATAGCAGTTTCTTACCCAGTCAGCAGCAGCATGCTGACTGGGTACTGTTTCCTAGAGATTCTTTATTTACCCAGTCAGCAGCAGCTGACTGGGTTCTGTTTCTTGGCAGTTTCTTCTTTCTTTCTTTCTTTCTTTCTTTCTTTCTTTCTTTCTTTCTTTCTTTTCTTTCTTTCTTTCTTTCTTTCTTTCTTTCTTTCTTTCTTTCTTTCTTTCTTTCTTTCTTTCTTTCTTTCTTTCTTTCTTTCTTTCTTTCTTTCTTTCTTTCTTTCTTTCTTTCTTTCTTTCTTTCTGGCAACATTTTAAAAGGCTACTAGTGGCAAACTACTAGACCGATTTTATTAAAACTTAGTCAGTAGGACCGGTGCCATCTCCCATTTATGCGTTGTTTACAACTTGGGGTCAAAGGTGTCTCACAAATAACGTAGCACAGTCTTGTCCTTTGCACATATACATTGGCATAAGGCAGGGTCTATAGAGTGTTCAGGAATAAGGGATCAAAGGTCATTAAGGGGTAATTTTTTTTCTGGCAACATTTTAAAACGCTACTAGTGCCAAACGGTTGTGCCGATTTCAACCAAACATGGTCAGTATAATCGGTGACACCTCTCATATATGGGGTGTTCACTGCTTGAGGTCAAAGGTCACATAGGGGTCATTAGGGTAAAACACTTTCAAAAAAATAAATAAAAGATTTCTTCTGTCAGCACAGTCTTGTCCTGGGCGCGATTTTTTTTCCGTACGAAACATTTGCATGAAACTTCACTCGGGCCATCTCGGATTGACTCGAGTGAGTACGATACGAGGAACAAGAGCAGACACTTCGCAATGTCGTGACGCTCGAATTTTACTATTATTGCTCTTTCTATGTTTACCTACGGTAGGCCTATGAAATTTCACGGGCGTATTTGATGTACGTCACTGTGTAACTAACTGTGACCTTCTGGGATGTTATTAAATGTTAGTATATTATCTACAACAACAACAGCTAGTACCTCCTGTTATACAGTGTAGATAGGTACAGTTATGGGTCAGGCTGACACAACACTTCACATACTGACATGGACTGAAATTTTTTTTGGGGGGGGGGAAGAATGGGACAAAATTGAAGCATGAAATGAAAAATAGAGCGCATAAGAGAAATATTATTAATTAAATAATATACCATTCCGGCGTTATTGAACTTGTCCAAACTATCATTGTAATGTAATTAATGCAAATAATAATAATAATAATAATAATAATAATAATAATAATAATAATTTCAGCATTAATTACCTTTGGCCTAAGCCTTGTAATGAAGAACCTACAGATACTGTACTATTTACTAGGCCTATAAAAAATAATCGCCCAAGGGGAATATCTTTTGTGTTATTTCCCCTTAACGTCGTTTTTTTAA